TGTATGTATGTATGTATATTACTTCCCCTCCTGAACCCATTTTGGTTCATTTCTGTGTCGATTATCCAGCACACCCTCATATTCTCAACTTGTTGCTAAATGCTATATTTTCGTCAACATGTTCAAGGAAAGATGGCACGGTGGCTCAGTTGGTAGAGCTGTTGCCTCTCAGGGAGAAGATCGATAGTTCAAATCCAGGACCTTTCTGAGTGGAGTTTGCATGTTCTCTCTGTGTATGCATGGGTTTTCTCCTGGTACTCCAGTTTCCTCCCACAGACCAAAAACATGCATGTTAGGCTGATTGGTAACTCTAAATTGTCCCTAGGTGTGAGTGAGAGAGTGAATGGTTGTTTGTCTCGTTTGTCTCTATGTGTCCCTGTGATGGACTGGAGACCTGTCCAGGCCAAAGTGTCCCCCACCTCTCACACAGTGATAGCTGGACATGGCCACCTGTGACTCGAAAAGGAAGAAGCGGGTAAAGATAATGGATGGATGGATGGATGGATGGATGGATGCCTGTTCAAGGCAACAATTACTGACGTTCACTTCACTTGTCAGTAATTGAAAAGACATAAGCAAGAACGCGAACGTGCCGCAAAATGGAGGTGTGATAATTTTAGTATAATTCAAAGCAATGATCATTAGTGGGTCATTCAGAATATGTGTTTTTGTCTCTGTGAAGGTTGGTCGGTGTACCTGCCGCTGTTGGTGAGGACTATGATGGCCCCGGCACAGCATTTGAAGGAGGACTCCACCGCCCCGATGGCAGTGACTTCAGTGGGGTCGCAGGACAAAGGCGTGAGGCGGCGCAGTTCCTCAAACAGCTGCTGGTGGAAAATGGCCGCCTCTGCTTCCCTGCAGATCTAACAGAGGGTGCAGGTGAGGCATGGATGTGTTATCAGGGGCCAACAAGTCCGATAGTATAAAACAAATGACATCTGCACACAGAACCACACACCGAGTGCATCATTGCGACCGACTCCACGGGAAACAGTCCCTTGGCGGTCTCCCCAGATAACATGACACAGTCGGCCCCATCCAGCACGGCGTTGGCCACGTCACTGCTCTCTGCTCTGGTTGGCCGTGGGTGGGACACCATGCTCTCCAGCATCTACACAGATTCAAAGCGACACAAAAGACTCCATTATGGAACCATAATTCAGATCGTTACGTAAAGCACAAAGGATTTTTAAAGGCCTGTAAGAATCCAGACGGTTATTGTGCATCAAGGGTCCATGAGAAGGACAGGCAGCGAGAAGAGGAGACGTCTTGAAGCACCGCCTGAGCAGATGCATATTTGTTGTGGTTAAGAAGCTGTAGATGAAGCTGATTAGAGTCTGTGTGTGGGTGTTGTTTGCGAGCACAGGTCTCGAGTAGAAAACCTGCTATAACGCTGTCACTGTGAGTCGAGAGGGGCAGCACAAACAAGATGCAGAGCCGTGACTCAACATGGCTGCAGGAGTGCGTGAGCGTGTGTGTGTCTCTCACTGGGTTTGTGTGCACAAAGAGGAATTGGGTTACGGCAAACCGTGAGGTTAATCTGCTCCTTTTAGGTCTTAATGTCCATTTGACACTTGAAACTGCAGTTTACATTTGCATGTTTTGCCATCTCTTGACGTGTTTGTGCTCTGACCTGTGTGGCACAGATGACGGGCTTTCCAGCTGAGTTGCAGCGCCCAATCATCATCTTCTGGGCAATGAAGACTTTCTCAGCGGGGATCTCGATGCCCAGGTCGCCCCTGGCAACCATCACACCGTCGCTCTCAGCGAGGATCTCCTCAAAACTGAAGCACAGATTGGAGGAAAGAGGAGGTGAAGGGCTCAGTGGAGATTTTGTACAAAATGCAAGAATGGTGAGGACAAGGGACAAAAGGACCAATAAAATAATTTATTTATGGATATTATCTGAATATAAATGTTGAGATACAAAAAAAATTGGAATTTGCAAACTGCACCTGAAATTTAAAAAAATGAAGAGTAAATTATTGAATTGCCATAAAAGTAGAATACCTGTGAATCTTTGAAGGAATACATGTTACCCACCGCCTTTCAGAAGCTTAAAGTAAGATCCTCCAAAAGTTAGAAAACGATTGCGTTGTAGCCGTTTCAGTCAAATTTAAAAAATAATATGTTGTGCATTTTTATGCTACACTGCAAGTCAAACTCTCGGCTAATACCATGTCAGATTTTAGCTCAGTATCTGTAAAATTATCTAATTTATAGCTACTTTGTGTTGACAAATGTTGATTAGCTGTGGTGGCCATCTTTACTTTGATTTAATTCAAATGATAATCACTTGTAGATTTATACGTAGTGTTTACTTTCAGAAAGTTTCATTAAAATCCTGCCAGTGTTTCATGAAATATTTTGCTAACAGACTAATGGGGTTTATGTTATCAGGTAATGTTATACTTTTAGGCAAAGATTTGCAAAACGATAGCAATTGGAGTTATGCGTTGTGAATAACTCTCAACCTCAACCATGCCAAACCAATGCACAGTTTTTGTAAAATTGATAAAAATATAGACATGTTTGTGCCACAAGTTTAACTGCCTGCTGCTGCCAACTTAAATTGGATCGAGTTAAAAAGTTAACCAGTTATAAGTCTGCATCTAATGATTGCTTCCTGAAAGTTTAATCAAAATCCATCCAGTGGTTCATTAGATATTTTGCTAACAGACAGAGTAGACTCCAAAATCTAATGGCAAAAATTTTAAACAAATATTTTATCCAACATTTTACTGCTAAAAATATGTGTTATGGTTCAGTCTCAGCTACTTTCACGCCAAATTTTAGAGCAAAAATTTTAAAATTAACTGAGTTGTGTTCATTTTTGTACTTTTTGAGCTCAATTGGCTGTGGCGACCATCTTGATTTATGTTAACTCTAAAAGTTAATCAGTTATAGTTGTAAATCAAAAGATTACTTCCTGCAAGTTTAACTGAAATCTCTTCATTAGTTCATGAGATATTTTGCTAACAGACAAAATTTAACAGCGGGCGATGATCAGTATTCAGGAGCGGAAACATACAACAGCATCCTAAATAAATGGGTTTTGCCTCAGTGAATATTCTCATAGCAGATCACAGTTGTGTGAATTTCAATCTTTATGATCTAATTTAAAAAACATCCAAGTGAAAGCTGTGGGTAAACGCTGCGAGCAGAAATAGAGACAAACGAGCCGAGTGATGAAAGTAGGCGATCAGAGACATAAACTGTGTCAGATATTTTAAGTGGCAGCATCAATCCACACAGACGGAGCGATCACTGATCAGATCCTGCCTCCACTCACAGATGGGGGTCTTCAGGCTTGAGGAGCAGGACCACCGTCCCTCACACGTTTATGAGTCCTCTCAGTCTGATCCTTCTCTTCAGCTGCTCTTAGAGTCAGAACGACAGCGTTCATTTCAAACCTTCACTCACTGCTGAACTCCTTGCCGGCTCTCCACCTTGCTGATCACTTTGATGTGTCTCCCGTGGGGCCCCAGAGCCCGACGCACGTCCTTCACGTCCTGGGCCGAGCGGATGAAGCTGGCGAACACCATGTCGACGCCGTGAGCCACCCCGAACCTCAGGTCGGCCTCGTCCTGCTCGCTGATCGCCTGCATGCCGACGAGGTCGCAGCCGGGGAGGTTAACGCCTTTACGGCTGCAGAGGACCCCGCCTGCTTCCACCACCGCCTCCACCCAGTTGGAGCCTGCAGGGGCCACAAGGATGGGCCAGAAATGAACAGACTTAACGTGCAAAAACACACGAGAGCACGTGTGGCAGACGTTAAATGACTGAGACGTGATGAAATTATGACATTATGGGATGTTCTGGTTCTGCATGTGAGACGTATCCAAGTTTATGAGTTTCTGTTTCATTAAACTAACGTTACTGCAGAGGTCAAGCAAGAAGAGGACAGGATTTAAATATTCATCAAATGCCAAAGCAGATCAGGTTTCGGCCTGTGTGTGTGTTTTTGTAGTGTTAGAAAAATATCTTATGAACCAGTGGACAAGTGTAAATGAAGCTCATAATGGTTGCATGGTTATGTTCAACTGCTCAACTGTTCCTTCAAGGTGGCTGCTGCAGTGAACCAGTCTTCGCAGACAGAAAACTGGCTGCAGTGCAGCCATTTTTACAAATACTGAGCTAAAACTGAGAGGGGGAGTAGCTGAGAGTGCTTCACAACGCAGACACTGAGTGCATCTCACAGTCTCACATGAGAAGCTGCATAACGTCCATTAAAAGGTTTCTCTAGAACAGCTGCAACTCCTTCTTTTGTCAACAAATGAGGATTGCCAGTTTCCCTGATTTCAACTACCTTGCCTGGAGATTAAAACTTTAGTTATTTAAGAGTAAATGGATTTAAAGTGTAATCTGTATAATCTGTAGAACTGAAATTTCACTCTCAGCCTGTCAAAAACAAAAAGTCAATTTGCTTCACAGCAACAGTTGCTTTACAATCATATATCTATTTTATAAAGTTCTTAAAGCCTTTTTTTGACAGAACATATTCTGTTTAGATTCATCCATCTCAAAAACAAATTCCACATATAAGCACTCAAATTCACTCATTCATATATTTCACTCTTCTATGAAAAATAAAGAATAAAACAAACAGCCAGTATTGCCTCTGTTTCAACCAATCAATGAATATGAACTAATGACCATATTTTCCAGACAATAAGTCACACTTTATTTAATAGTTTGGCCACTCCTGTGACTAATAGTCCAGAGCAACTTATTTAAATTTTTTCCATATTCATGACACAATTTTTGACTGACGCGTTAAATGTTCATTCATACTGAGTAAACTAAAGCGTAAACATTACTATTTGCAGCTGCGAGAGGGCCCGCTAGGCTTTTAACAGCTATATGTTGTTCCTCTACTGCTAGCCCCCACAATCATAAAGAAAACAGAGAAAAACTTAACACAAGTAAAATGCCCCCAAAAGGCGGAGTTGTTCAGAAGCGACACTGAGGATAAGAATTCAATAAATTCAGTGACGTGGAATGAGATTGATGAATTTACAGGTAACTTGCTTGTTGAACACGTTGGCTTCAGGATCCCAGGTATGTTCTGTGTGTTGTTGTTATTTCATATTAAATGTCTGTTCTTGCACTTTGTGAAATACACGTCTAAATAAAAGCAACTTATACATTGTTTTTGTCCTCTTCGTGAGGCATTTTTTGACTGATGCAACCTATACTCTGGAGCGACTTATAGTCCAGAAAATACGGTAGTATTTACTGTAACTGGTTTATAATGATTAAAACATCCCGCAATATTGTTATTCTTACTCAAACAGAAGCTTTTTGTTGGACAATTTGAAAAAAAAAAAAAATCCTCCAAACAAGAACTGACTGTGTTCAAAGAGCTGAAAGACTGAAGGTGTTTTAATTCTTGACAAATATCAACTCCAAAGGAACTGTTTGGTTTTGTGCTTTTATTTTTAAAAATTGTACATCAAAACTAAAATGTGCAAAAAACGATTTCATTTTATTGTGCAAATTACCACAATAATACAGAATTTGACCCTTTTTTTTTTTTTGCATGACACTGCATGTTAATGTGTACAAATAAGCTTTTTCCCCCCAAAAAATAGTTTTAGTTTAGATTTTGTGCATGTTTTAAGGTGTTAAAATAAAAAAAAAGGAAGCTTATGGAATGCATGTGTAGTGAACCAGATGACCTCAAATCTACCAGATGGACAGAGACTGTTATTTTCATTGATCTGAATGAGTCTGGGCCATCTGATGAACTTTCTTTCTTGAATTAATCAAGCAGAAAAGACAATTCTTTATAATCATTACTGTCTTACAAATGTTTTGATAATCAAATTGTGTTAGTTCACTCAATGCTTTACAGGTTGAAAAGAACTACTAATTTTTATTTTACATAAACAGTAAGTAATGATTTTTGTTCCTCATTCAGAGAAGAAATCACCTGAATATGCCTTTCTTGATTTTCTGTCTGAAATGAGCAAGCTGTCGTAAGTATGTGAAAGGTTGGTCTTCGGTCAACTAAAATGTTTACTGAAGAAGAAATGTCATGTTTAAACTTTTTCAGAAGATTACCAAGAGTAGACTCCAGAAAGTCTGCTGCTCCTGCAATAATCTTTTCTGTATGTTAAACAAGTTTCATTCTCTGACCTCGACTGTTGATAAACACCTTACGTCAAAAACACACCTCTTTCTGGTCCTTCCACGAATCAGAAAGCTCTAAACTGAACAGGAAGTAAACTCATTTAAAATGTGACAACTGCCCAGTTCAAGTTAGAATGAAAGCTGACAACAGATTGAGAGTTCTGGAGAATGTGAGAGTTCCAAGATTGAGAATGCAGTCGGTTCTGAAAGCTTCAGAGCAATGAAGAATCCAGAGGTTTTTTGGGGATTATAATTCTGTTTTGAGCTAATCAACGCACGACTTTCTGAAGGTTTGGTAGCTCTCGACGGAGACGCTGAAACGAGTCAGAAAGGAACTACATCCAACGCTGATTCATCGTCAACAGGTAGATGGTTCTATTTTGACCAAGTGTACCGTGAGAAGCTGAGATCGGACGGAGCGTGCAACTTCTGGTTAAACAGATTAAATCTCCCTCACATATTCCTCTGTAAGATAAATCTCAATTTACTCTTAAACTCACCTCTCTCTCATAAATCAGTACAGATATTTTTAGAAATGTCTGAAGCAAAGTCCTCAAATCACCGCCGAGTGATTTGAAGTTCATTTTCTGTGAAACTGTCTGTTATTATTTTCATATTTTGCCAAATTAATGTAAATGTTTGATGTTAAACTTTGATTTTGAAAATAAATGATTCCATTCATTTGATGGGTCAAAGATAAATAACGTCTCTCGTTCACATTTCTGTTAAATTCAATGCACGACATTTACAGTCAGAAAAATGAAGAACTCGTGAATATTGTATGCATATATAATTCATATATTTGTCATACAACAAGTGACACGTACCTCACGTGACTCACTACA